ATGTCACTGTTTTTTTCATTATTAAAAATATGCAATAAAACGTTAAAACACACACACACAAAAAAAAAAAAAAAAAAAAAATTACAGCTACCCTTTTTTTTATTAAATTGTAGTAATTATAGTAAATAGGTGATTCTAAAATTTATTTAATATTTTGTATTATTTAATATCTATACTTCACTATAATTATAGTATAGATAGCTTTTTGTTATTATTATTTGAATAATAATGAAACATTCTTGCAGTAATTTGAAATGACTATAATATTATACTTATTATCATATATTTCTTACCTTTTCACCATTAATGGAAAATTTATTTTTCCGGTTAATGAAGACAAAACAAAAATTAATATCACCACACTCGCAACATCTGCGGTTTCATTTGTATGTAACCCAAAATAATTCTTGGTAAGCTAGGTAGAATCACATTTGTGATTGCACTCCAGTTCTTTTACAGCTGGTCGAAAGAATTAACATCTACTGTATGTGGAAATAGCGAACAAAACAGTAAGAAATTGGAACAATTACCTGTGGACAACTTGTATTCATAGCATTCTAAAATGAGCTTTTGGTAAAATTTGACCGCAAATAAAACAGTAGTAATGAACGAATGTTTTTTCACGAAGTGGGTCCAATACTTTCACAGCAGGGTTATTTCATGTATTCTGCAGAGAGACTGATGTATGGTTTGTTGTAACTGCTGTATACAAATGTCTGGCTCAGAATTCCACAGCAGTAATTAGCACAACTTTCATGGTTGATGGTATAATATGGAGGTACCAAAAATTAGTATTATCACAGTAACTGCAAGATGGCTTATATTTCTAAAACTCAGTTAACACATTTCATGCAGAAAGAAAATATTATCCAGTTTCATACTTAAATCAAGGTCACTGAAATGTGGTAAAAGCAATCTGCTTAAGAAAACAGATGCCTCTGTAGAGGACTTTCTATGGAAAACTGGCTTTCATTACCCATTATACATGGGCAAAACCAATGTCATGTAATATAATAATCTATTAGTACAGTAAATACATTTAATTTCTTTGTATTTATTTATGTCATGCTGCTTTTCGTGTAATTTAGTATGATAACCTTATAAGTTTATTTAATTCTGATCATGGTCTACGGAAGTAAGGTAAGTCACCTGTTATCGAGAATATCAAGTTATTAATAGTTATGTGAAAGTCTGCAATAACTTTTCATATCATAAGAGATTTACGAATGTGTATATAACTTACATGTGTAGTTATTATGCAAGATCTATAGAAAGTATCCAAAATTACCATGACATTAATCACACTGTACGAACAGGCAAGACATTATACATTAGGAGAAAATTAACTAATATTTTGGGGGATGAAATACTATTTTACACATGGGAACTGTTTAAACAGCTGAGAAAAATTCATGCTTTTTCCCCCTACAGTTACAGAATATATATATATATTGTTTCATAAGAATAAAAAGTAAAGTTAAATTTAAATAATTCTCATGTGCCATTGCTGCAAAGAATGAAATTTGAATTTAACAAATATTCTCTATTCATATAAAGTTAATTTAAATTATGAAATTTTAATTGCATACATATCAAAGATTAATTATTGCTGCAAACTAATTTACTATATCACTGAAATTCTGAGAGCATATGTAAATTAAATGCACGTATCTAAAACCATGAAAAAATATATATTCCAAAAAACTAATCCCAAATATATACATATATATATATATCTCAAAGACAGGCATATGCATAATTTCTGTTAGAAAAACAATTTCTCCGAGATTACGTTTTAGAGTAATTAAAACAATAAATTAATGGTGATATTATTACTGCATTCCAAAATTCGCAGTAATTAACGATTTCGATCATTACTACGAAAAAAAAACGGGATGAAAAAGAAAGAATCCTGATACAATAACATTAAAAATTTGTGTGTTTACGTATAAAAATATATAATATTCTCAAATAGGTCATTTAAGCATAGTCTTGCATAGTCTTTGATTCGGAAAACATTTCCAGAAGTATTTCAGTTTTCATAATCTGAAGTAAAAACAAACCTGCTTTTGCAGAGAATATCCATTGGCAGTTGCCTTCAGAAAAGGTTTCAATTCATTGAAGCAAACCGATTTAATCTGAATCAACTGATGAATTCACGCTCCGACATTTCAAAAGCATTACGACTGTCTCTTAAATGCCAAGGAATTCGATCAGCATTTCTCCGATTTCTTAAACGTCTGAGCAAAATCACTTCAGCCATCTTGTTTACAGTCGCTGTTAAGAGTTTGCGGCAGGTCAGGAGTAGCCGCAAAATTCCTCTATGGTAGTGACGTATTTTCAGTAGGCGTGTCCGAAAAGCGTTGCACTTGAATTCGGTTTTGCAATGCAAGTGCGATTACCATGACAAGCGTTGCACTTGAATTCGCCCCTAACTTCCGAAGACTCTCTTGGTAGAGCTGACATGTGTAAAAATCTTTTTTTTCAATAAGATTTTTTTTTTTTTCCCCAAGAAGTAAATAATTAATGTATTAGGAGGTTTTACGTGATCTTGTTTAGTCGTGTTTATTTTGTAATAAAACGTAATTTTTATTCAATTGCACATTCCAAATCTTACCCTTAGAAACATAAAGCGTCTTTACGGAGTTATTATTATGGTAAAAAAGTTTATCTTTTTAATAGTTATAATTTATATCTATTTGTGTAAATTCTAAAAGTTATATTTTTACAGCTTGTCTCAAAATTATATGACTATTATACAGTAAATATTTAATATTTTATTAAATATTATTACTATTATACAATAAATATTTAATATTTTAATACATAAATATTAATTTTTTCATTCTGTTCGATACAGAATTGAGAGACTTATTCTATGTCTCAAAATTGTTTTAACCTTTCTTATAAGCTTAAAGTTATCATTAAATTGCTTAAAATTTTTTGGTAACTTGTATTTGGTCTAAAGTGAGCTGCCCTCTATGGATAACTTACATGGGGAGAGAAAGTAATGCATTATAGTTTCTAAAATAGCCTTAAAGGCGCAAATAAAATTCACTGGAATTTGTCTAAAATAGTTTCATTAAGAATATTTTTGGAAATAAATATGTGAGAAAGCAAAAGGGTAAACAGGTACAACTTTCTTAAAGTGATCACCGCATAGACATTTGACTATATTTAAGGTTTACATTTTACAGATTGATTGCTTTAGAATCCAATTTTGGCGACTAAGTGCATTGATCTCTTTAAGAGGAAGTAACAGAAATATATTTCTTTGTTCATAAAGGGATGTATGCCAACAGCAATTGTAAGTAAAATAAAGTACCTGGGATATATTTTTTTTTAAATTCACACCGCATAAAACATCATCAATTCATTCATGACATTGTGAAACAGAAAAAAACTTTATCCATCTATTTTTTAAGGCCAGGATATCTTTACAGCTTACAGATGCTGTTCTATTCATGGGCATAATAAAAAAAGCATATTTATGAGAAATAAAACATGAAAAAAAATCTGTAAGGCTGATATTTATATTTTCATAGTACATAAATACTGTTCAGCAAAATAACAGTTAATTATAAAGCAATAAAATTATAAATAAACATTAATACCATTATAAAGTATGCACATCCATGTATGTATACTCTGATATGTGTAATATTTGCATGCTGAACTTGGTTACTGACACATGTATACATGAAAACATCCCAAGAATTTTGCACTTTTACCAAATGTTGAAACCTGAGATGTGGGTATTTAGGCAGTACTTAAGTTTGTTCTGTTGTTCAGGAAATAACAAGATACAGTCAAAAGTCGTTAATCCGGACTCGTCGGGACTTCGGCGATTCCAGATTATCGATTTTTCCGGATTATAGATCATCAGTTTAAATCTGGTAAAATGGCATGCAGAAATTATAAAATTAAAAATATGAAACCGTAATTTACGAAATAAAGAACAATTATGATCTAAAGGGTATCAAAATTTACAAAAAAAAGCTTAATATTTATTTGTTTATTTATTAAACATTTCTTTCAATGTAAGTTGTTTAAGTTGCTTCGTTTTTTTTGTGATAATACATTCTCTTTAATTCTATAAACAGACATAATTTCGTGTTCAGTTACAAAGTTCCGCTGTTCAAGTCCTATAATGCTGTGCCGAGAATACCGACTAATTTGTCAATCGAAATTTTTTCGTTTTCAATAACCTCTGTTACTTTCTTCGCTATCGGAAGCGAATTATAATGACGAGGCATTTGATTTAAATCATATCAAAGACGGAGTACATCGAGATGAAATACTACATTGAGTAAGCAATTATAAGTCAAATAAAATAAAAACATCTGCCCTTAAGATAAGGATAGTGCTGACAGATCAACTTCCAATTCATTGCACGCTTAAAGATAAACAATGGTTAGATAAACAAACGTTAAAGTTTAGATAAACAAAGGATATGCCTTTATTTATTTTTTGCAGCAATTCCACTTTTTGTTTAATGGACTTCGAAAGATACTTTCGCTTTGTATATCCTTTACATATTAGTAAATATATATCGGAAATTCTATTTGAAATAATCGAAAATTCAAGCTTACTTTTATAAAATTGCTCTAACAGTCTGCAAAAAATAATAAGCCGGATCCAATTTGAAGATTAAGGAACACACAATCTGCAACATTAACTGAAATAGATAATCAGATAATTGTAGCTTAGCTTATCCCGTCCGTTACACATTAAACGCGCATTCGTAAACGTATTTTGCGCACGCCCACACGCAAATTCGCAGCCGTAAAGGTCTTACGCGCATGCGTCAACGCGACGCATGCGCAGAAAGTTTGTAGCTTTGAGGTACGGATTATAGATCATACCGGATTATGGGTGTCCGAATTAACGACTTTTGACTGTAATATGAAAATAATGATGTTTACACTAAGAAATATTGTACAGAATGTGAAAAAAATATTACATTGTTTGTAATAAAGACAGTTTTTGAAATGCATTAAAAAGTCCAAGCAGACAGATCTAAAGCACAGATTAGTATTTGTGAAAGTGAAGTTCACGTTAGCAGTTTAGGGCAGAAACTGTTCATTTATTTCTGAAGTACAGTAGAGTCGTTCAAACTCAACCTAATAGGAAATGAGAGGGGCAAGACCAAAAATATCAAGTTTTACAGAAGAAGAGATTGGTTATTCACAACTCATAATATCTCATTCCAATACCATGTATTCATGGCAATTTTATTAGTACTTTCCTCTTTGTCTAGACTCTTAACCCTCTGGGCGGCCAGGGTTTTCGCTAAGAAAGCACAAATTTCCCAAAACTACTATGAGAACAAATTATTTTTTGTTTTTAATGTGAAAACTGTACTGGTATTTCATACCTGGATTTGTTTTCTTTTGATATATTGCCTTAATTTCGTTGACATATTTTAATATGCACGTATATATACGTTCTTACAGGTATCACAATAAATATTCCATATAGGCCGTATATATACGGCCTTGCCGCTTAGAGGGTTAAGGCATCCAGTTTCTTTTTCTTTAGCATGATATTTTTTTCCATCCTTAGGATTTTCTGTTATACAGATAATACAACACAATGCTTGTAAGCCTGGATGTAAAGAGAAATTCTATCTAGAATGAACTGAAAGTTTAGCTTACAATAGAGTATGAGACTTTCAGCTTAGCTTACTAGCTGACTCACAGTATGGAACTTATAAGCCTTTAGGAAAACTTTCTAACAGTTAGTAACTGAAGAAAATATTTGTGGTACAGCTTAGCTTACTAGCTGACTTACAGTATGGAACTAGTATAAGCCTTTAGGAAAACTTTCTAACAGTTAGTAAGCGAAGAATATATATGTGGTAATCAATAGCACCTAGACTTCTACCTGACTAATCTATATTATTTCAACTGCTTTCTTGCAGAAAAGATGAATGAGGTATATTTGATTGTCCATACAAAAAATAAAATAAGTGATCAAATTCGTTATACAGATTCCAAGAAGTAGTGTTTTGAAGTGAAAGACCAAAAATTTACAAAATTAGAATACCATGGCAAATTGTTGAATAGAACAGGAAAACATGGGGACATTTGTATGCATTAATGTGTACTATAATTACAATATTGCATAGTTAAAATGTGATTATACTGTATGCATCTTATAGGCAACAGTCTAATACAAATTCAGTACGTATTTTTATTTCTATTGCTAATAAATTGTTTACATTCAGATTTCATATTTTTAATTGTATAATTTTTGCATGCCATCTTACCAGATTTAAATTGATGATCTATAATCCGGAATCGCCCAAGTCCGGATTACGAACTTTGTACTGTAATATTTTTTATACTTATCTTGTGTTAAATATTTTTTATTTAACTGTTATGTATATTTGTTGAAAGCAAAATTGTTTTAGTGTTGATTAATGCAGTTTACCCCTAATAACTAGATTTTATGTTTGTATAGCATAGCATTATTTTCTAATAGAATGTTAAAATATTTGTATTTGTACTGTGCAGGATCTCGCAGCATTTTCCAACGATGATTTTGATCCTAAAGAGTGGATTAATAAAACATTTCAATGCTCCGAAGCTCGGGAGAACAAAGAAGTACAAAATTTTTTTGATTAATTATTAATATAATAAAGGCTGGAACAAAAATAATAAGAATAAAATAATGCATTAATAAATGAATACAATAAAAGAAGTTAGTCATTTGCTTATTAAAGTTGACATCTAGTGAATTTTACATTAATTCAAACTCGCCTCATAATGTAATGTTCTGTTTTTTTGTTATTATAGGAATTTGCTACTACGATAGTAGCAAAACTCCAGTCATTCATTCAGGTATGTTTGATTTTTAAAAACAGAGTAATATCTGATAATCTTTTAACTATGAAAATTCAGGTTAATTTTTGTTATAAAAATTTAAACAAATTCATCTGCTTATAGTTTTTCTTTTATTTATATGTATACTTGTTTTCAATTTAAATAACATGTTTAATATATTTCATTCACTTTTATCCATTGTAATAAGTTTTTATTCATATGTCATGTGCTATTTAATATGTATTCTGAGAATGGAGTTTTTATACAGGAGGTTAATATATCATTAGAGAAGACTGCTGAACAAGTCAACCAAAACATACCAAGGTAATAAAATTTTCAATCTTTTTAACCAATGCTATGTTTTGCTGTTACTGTTGGATGGCTTACAGATATATACCGTATAATTTAAAAGCACTCTTCTGTTAACTGGGCCAACTGTCATCAAATATGCACATAAGCGACTTGTTTATATTATACCATGAATAACTGTATAGTGTTTAATTTTTGCAATGCCAGATTTGTGAAATTTTGTAAACAGCAGATCTTCCCATGTACACATTGATCTGTTTTTACTTTAAAAACGTCAGAGAATTATATAAATGTTTCATTGCACTTAAGTTCAGCATTATGCAAAGTTTTAACATTGTGAGCATTTTGTATTATATGAATTACATTGCTTATCACAAGTTAGTTTGTTTTTCATGAAGCTGTGTGTATTCTTAGGAATGCTGCTATCTAGTTAGATTTCACACCAACATTTATCTATTGGTTATTTAAATTTTATAGACTTGGTCATTTGATAAATATTACTCAGTATTATTTTCAGTATATTTCTGTTAGTTCCAAAATATATTTCGGTTAGACTTGACTTTAGGGTACCCCTTGTATTATCGTGAAGTTGTTGTTTCATTTATCGCCAAGTTGCTGTTCCGTTTATTGCCAAGTTGTTGATTCGTTTATGGTAACCTGAGTAGTTGAAACCCTACTATGACGTAATTGTTTTCATTATTCCGGGAAATTTTGAATCATGGGATGTTTTGTAAGGGATTTTAGAGTGTTACTTGTTTCATTGAGATGGTAAAATGGCTGAATGTAGTAAGATTAATTTGAAGTTTCTGTATGATTTGGAATGAAAGGGGGAAGTGCATTAATTGACTGGTGTAAATGAAGGTTTACTTAGTAGCCATTTTCGGCACAGTCCGGAATACGTAGGATATTTTTTACTCTTATTTTTGTGAATTTATGTGGCAACACCAATATACGGATTCTAGTTCAGATAATTTTAGGAAGTTTTTGGGTGCTATTAAGGAATTTTGTGTGCCACAGAGGTATGTGGATACTTGCTTTGTGTAATGCTTAAATGCATAATGTTAAGGCATAATCCTTTTATATGTTATTTTATTGTTTGCTTTAAAATGTAGTTTATTGAGATTATGTATTTTTTGTTTGCATCTGCTGTAGAATCGGGAGCTCCTTTGACTTTCTAAGTGAAAATGTATCAATTTGTATTTGGACAAACTCAAGGGAATATGCAAAGCCTAGTTTGTGAAATTCTCTGATGTTTTTTGAAGTGAAAATAGGTCGATGTGTACATAGATAAAGAAGTCAAGGGAGTGTGCAATGCCATTTTTGTGCAATTCTGGGATGTTTTGTAAGTGAAAAATAGGTCAATGTGTACTTGGATACCGAGTTTGTGCAATTCTTTATCTTGTTATTTTGACTTTTATGTAGTGGCGATTTTTGATGCAAAAATAATGAGTCAAAGACTTGCACAAATTTGGTATTCATGTACCGCCAAGTTTCACCAAGGGGTACCCTAAAATATACTTTTATCAATATTTCTTTTATATGAACTGTAATCTTACTAACATCTACAAAATTAAACACTGTGCTTTTTTATTCTGTGCAATTCAGGCTTATAGCTAATAATTATAAGAAAATATTTCCCAGTGAATAACAGACTCTAAAATTTTCTTTCCTATCACATCAAGGAAGATTTGTATTATTTTGAATCACTTTTCCAAGATAATTTACATATATCTTCTTTGCCTTTATAATTTTTTCAAAAATTTCTATAGAAGGATAAAAAAAGAGTAGATAAATTAAATAGCTATGTAACAAATAGTGTTTTAAACTACATTACAGTTTCGGTCAAACATAATCTAATATGTTTCATCATTAATGATAAGGTATCTAATTCTATAACTGATACGTTATCTATTAGCTAAACAGTATTTGCAGTGGGAAAATGAAAGAGTTTCTTTTGATAGATTCATAAACAGAGAAATAAAGATTGAAAGCTTGCTGTTTAGAATATCGGTATTACTCAGATGGATAAATTTTGTTGAATGGTTAATAAGGCTTTACCAACAATTTCCAATTAAAGATTAACAAGTTCAAGGAGATGATAAATAAGTTGAGCAAAACAACAATAAAAAAAAACAAAAAATATATGAAAGGTTTCAGATTTTAAATTACGTCCAATGGGGCCTTTTTTTAATGTTTTCTGTTACCTTTCTTTATTAAATATCATGTTCTTAATTTAATGTCATGTTCTTATGTACTCAAACTGTAAAATTCAGTTCAATATCTATCAAATTAATTTTAAAATGAGCGTATCTTTAGAATTTTTGATACAGAATCGTGCGCGCTGGAGATAATTTTTTTTTGTGTGTTGCCATTGCTTGCTTTGAAATCATTTAGTTTTTTTAATCAAAAATTGGTTGAAGTGTTACAAAATCTGAAGTCAATAATAAAACAAATTTCAAATCCAAATTAGGGCTTCCATATGCCCATAATCGTATATTATTCAATTTGAAGAAGATTACGTTATTCAATTTGATGGCTCTAGGTACCGTTGTTTTATCACAGTGCGAGAAACTAACATACATTTATGTAGATTCTTCATTATTTAATTTCTTTAAATATAAAACAGGGTGAAAATATATGGTTGCAATGATTTGCAAAGTAATACAGGCTTTTAAAGTTTCGACGCAAAGTGTCAAAGCGAAATTAATAGTCCTTCAGGGCAAATTACACCTTTGGACTAAAAAAAAAAGAAAAAGAAAAGAAAGAAGAACAAGTAGTAAGAAAGAAAAGGGGGGAAAAGGACATTGAAAAACTATTTAAAAAAATTCTGGATTGATCATAGTCAGACCAAGGCACTGTTTTGGCAATTCAAATGACCAAAACATGGCAAGACCTGTGTTCTCTTCATCCGAAAGGAAGATGTTGATTTGATCTTTAAAATATACACAATTTTAATATCTAGCAGTCACAAAATCAGCACCTCTATAATTTCACTGAAAATACTTATAATATGATTACGTACTTTGTGCCATATTCCACTCACAGTGTCCATTTTTATCAAATAATACAATTGTTTGACAAATCAGCCCATATGGCTGATAATGTAAGTCATTTATCAGACATACATATCATGCATTCTCAGTTGCTTTTCAAGTGTACCAACTTAAAAATGTTGCAGTTTTAATACAAATGTAATGAATGTGCATTTAACCCATCTTAAACCGAGTAGAATATGAGGTCCTTATGTCCTTACAGACTTGATATCTCATAGTGAACTAAAATACATGTTTCATAATTAAAGTCTTTAGAAATTTTGCTGCATTTAGAAGATAAATTCAAAATCTTCTCTGGAAAATCAAACTTAGTATTGTTGCTTTTCTCAACTGCATATATTTGTGGCTGGATTTTTTGCCTATACAAGTACCAAAACAAAATATAGAATTAGATGTTCACCTGCAGTTAGCTTTAAAACCTAAAATAAGAATGCAGTCATACTAAACAGTTTATGGTATTTTATGTTATGTCTTAATTTAGGACTACTGTTGCACTATGGTGCAGTAAAATTAAATTGAAATTATTTTCTGTAAAACCTAATAAAATTCTGAAAATCAAATAATAAAGAATATGTATTTTGACTGAATTCAATATAATGACTAAATTAAAGGAGCTCTGTTTATTATATAGATCTATTTTATTGTTGCTGTCTGCAATAATTTGTTTTAATACAAATGGTTTGATTTATGGTATTTTGAAAGTAACTTTTTTGCATGGTGAAGTTTAGACAATACTATGGATAATGATGGTAGTTGAGAATAAATAGAAATATTATGGTAAATTTCCGAAGTTTTTGAATAATTTTAGGGCATACATATTGTATAGTTTTATAAATATCTTTTTTCTTTATGTTTCTTTCCATCTATCCTCTCTTCCGTTTACATTGCTTCTAAACGCTATTAATTTGCAAGACATAGAATAGGCCTAAATAGGAGGCTCCACTATAGAAATTAATTCTAAGGAGGACTCTATGAACTGAAGCATTTCGGAACCACTGTCTTAGAAGATTAAACAGAAATTAAAAAATTTTGAAAGCAATTTTTTTTCTTCCCCAAAGTGGTAGGCACCTATATCTGAAATTAAACAATTAAGAATCAGTTTTTGAATAAAACGACTGCCGCCCAAATCTTGGGATTACTCACACAGTAAGTCTGCAGTTTACTCTTGTGAATGTTTTAAACTCTAAAACTTATTTTATAATGATCATAGTTTCTCTGAAGAAGAAATATAATCTTATCTTTAAATGGTTAAAAATCAGGTGCCCGAGGAACTTCATGGATGTAATTCCGTCTGACATTATAGTTAGAGTAATGTAGTTTTATCTCTGTAAAATATATATTCTTGCAAATAATCTACAACCTTTATCCTTTTAGATTTTTCTTAAAATTTTCAACAGCTTTTCCTGTTATATGTAAATTTTGTAAATTACATCAACTTTTAAACAGACAAAACCAACCTTTACTATAGTCTGATACTTTAAAATAAGATGATTTTCCATGACCTGATTTGCCTAATAACCATGAAAACAGTAATTGTGGCAGATGGTTTGAGCCATCTAATTCTCCCTCTCTCCATTTCTGTTTAGTGTATTTTGCTTCATGAAAAGCGCATGAAGGCTGGTTTTGTTACCATTTCAAATGAGGTGGAGAAAATAAGTGCTGTGTGGCAATGACAACATACATTATCGCAAATGAGGGGGGTAGCAATGGCCTTGAAATGCCTATTATAAAGAAGCAGACTACAGCAATAAATGTTTTCCCTTATATTTATTATCCTGACGTATGTTTTAGTTAACATATAAGTTGCATGCTTTCATTTATATGACTAGTAAACTCAGACAAATAGTTATGTTAATGTGGGGATTTATACATATAATTAACTAGTTTTCCGTTTCGTGGATGGAACTTTTTTTTTCCAGGGGAGGTCAAAATTTTGCATTTTTAAATGCCTTATTTATTCTGGTTTTATTTTTTACCATCATCGAAATGTTGAATGTGACTATTTTTCTTTGCAAGCTATTTCCCTGACTATTCTCCCATTCATATGTCTTGATAATCTATATTTTAAAATCTAAATTTAAAGTCTTCCTGATCTTTTTGACTGTGGTGGAATTTTTATCAGTATTACTTTGCATACTAACTATTAAGATGAGGTATAAGAATGGCAGCAAGTTGTGCATACTTTTCTGTTGCCAGAAAAATACTAACATGTGATAGATTGAAAAACATTATAAGTGGGTGGGTCTTAGCAGCAAATTATGGGATTTGCTTATTCATTATGCGGCCTTGGCCAGTATTGTTTATTTTTCATTATTTGCTTGTTGTGGTAATTAGTAGAGCATTCTGAACACAAAATATTCGCATATAGCCATACATCTGTTATTTAGCAAAGGTAGTGTAGTGCATTTTTGTGGCAACGCAATGTTTCAATGATTGTGTTGCATTGCGAGTATGCTGGTGGTAAGCTTAGAGAATGTTTATCCTATTTTTTGGCTATCATAAAAGCAAGTCATCATAAGTTGAGGACTACCTGCATTGGTTATTTTGGCTGTCGTAAAAGCAAGTCATCATAAGTGGAGGACTACTTGCATTGGTTATGCGCACTGTCTAACTTATTTTTATATAAATAATTCATGATTGCGAATCTCTTGGGATGGAATTGTGATAAATCTCTTCATGGGCAGTTTCAAATTCAAATTACACATAGGCATTGTATGATCTGAAAGCTGGAATTTTTATTTTGCGAAATAAATTTTTTTAATTAAAATTAAAATTTTATTTGCTAAATATTTATCAAAATATGTACAAACAATAATACGAATGACGCAAAAAAAATTGTTTTCTATCTGAATTCTAAATGTTAATATCTGCACTTTGTAATTCAAATTTTAGATTTTCAGACTGACATTTATTTCAAATAATTCTAATATATTGAATTATTCACTGAATAATTTACTTATACAAATTATGAAAACCTCCCAACTGGAACAAAACTTGAAAATAAGTAATGACAATTTATTCTCTTTCCTTTATTGACTAAATTTTCTTCTGGTGTATTCACATGTAAATTATTAGAAACTTCTTATTACAGCTTTCAGCTACATCAGCTTATGGCCTTTCAATTTCAATAAAGTTTGTAACCTTGGGAAAAAGTTACCTTCTTCACAAATATCAGGTGCTCATTATTCAATCTGGTTCTATTCTTAGAAATGTTAATTTTCCATTGTGAAAGAAAAGCTATTCACTTATAAATGCATTCCCAAAGAAAGAGATTATTCTTACTACAAAAATTCATAACTGAGGGTATTTATACTTTGATAAGTATGAGTAAAAGTTAATCAATATGTATCTTCAGATCTTTGAATAAAGTTTATATTACAGAGTAAATTAATTAGGTCTATTTATCGTTTCTGGGTGTTAGTCATATTCGTTTTTGATAAAGAAAATAATGTAAAATTGGACTTCAAATCATTAAAATCATTCATCTTATTCATTTCATCCGTTATATTTTCCTTAATCTCACATTTTCTTCAAATTTTTGTCATGATAACCAGTGTTATAATAATCCTAATTAATTTATGAGAAATGCATTCGCAGACTGTATAAAATTCCTTCAAGGGCCACTTGCAGCCCCCTTGGATCACCAGTTGAGATCACTGTTCTATACTATCAGCAACTCGCATAGAGGACTTTCACATCGATTGAGTTTAAGTATCCTCACAAAGATATTGTATGGTCATAAACATTTATGTTTTATCTGGTATATAAACTTCAGCCCAATGATATAGTAGTAGTTAACCATAATTTGTCATGCTATTCAGAAGGCCAAAATTTATTGATTTAAATAAATTTACGTTAGTTGTTTTATGCGTTTATTTTCATTTTCTCACTAAATTATCTTATTTGCTTTTCTGTATTGTCTAGTTTCTGGAAGTAGATTATTAAATCAGTGTAGAAATAAAGAGTAAACTTAAAGTAAATCTCCTCTTTTTTAAATATCTTTTAATTTGATTTTCACTGTTTAGGATATAAAAGGAAGGGAATCTGTGATCATGTGAGATATTACAATATTAAAAGTGGAATTCATTAAATAGGATTAAAATTAGCAATAAATATTGTCACTACATGTTCCAGATCAGCGCTGCAGCTAGAGGGGGGGGCAATCTGTCCCCGGGCACAGAATCCAAGGGGCGCCAAACTGATGTTATGACATTTTAAAATTAAATGTTTTCCATCCTTGGCAAGCAATAGGTTGTCCCTGGGTGCTGAAAACCCTAGCTACGACTCTGTTCCAGATATATCTTTGCAGGAAAATCCAACATTTATCGTATACAGAAATTAGGTAGAAGGAAAGGTTATTCATAGTCATATCTACATATGTATATTTTAGTAAAGTTATTTCTTAATTCAGGGGAAATCTGGATTTTTAACTTAAATTTGGTACAAATGTCCTTATAAATAAAATCAGTTAAATTCAACTAATTTTATTCTTTCAACAAATTTTAAAACATACTTTTATAGTTTTTATTTAAAAATTTTAAATCTAATTTTTTGTAAACTTGTTTTAATCTATTAATCTAAGTCAAACAACAAAAATCAGTGTTATATTTGCAGACTAGTTTCAATGGTTTTACTAAACCATCATCTTCATCCACCAAAGTGCAAATGAACGACATAAAATGTAATGATTAGATAAGATAAGAATTGCTTGACATGAGTTAAGCTACTGGTGCCATCTATTGATGAAACAAGAACTAAAGCATAATTACCTTAGGCTAAAGGAAAAAATGGATTGGAATAAGGGTCATTAACTAGAACAGAAAGATTTTTTAAATGTGAAACGCCTCTATAAAATCTAATTCACCAATGGAAGGTGTTTTTTGAATAATTTTGGCTGCAAAAAAATTAAAAGTGTAATTTTTGAACCAACAATGCTGGGCAACAGAAGACTTCTGTGTTTCCTTTTTTCTAACATATGCCTCATGTTCCTTAACGCGAAATTTTAAGGCTCTCTTAGTTTGACCAATGTAAATTAAAACCACACTGGCAAGGAATCCTGTAAATACCCCAGGAATTCATATCCAGAATGGGGTACTTGAGTATGGAACTCGGAATTTGATTGATAGGAGAATAAACGACCCAAAAGTAAAACTGTAAAGTATGTGCAATTTTAGAGCTAATTGATGGAAATAACAGAAAGACAACAGAATTTTTATAATCTCCCAAAACAAGAGTGTGCCTATTGGTGTGTTAGATGAGAATTTTTTAACTGCTTGATTAATAATGTAGGGTGAAAAACCTCTGTCAGTAGCTACTGCTTTTAAATAAGTTATTTCTTTCTATTCTAGTTAACGACCCTAATTTCAATCTATCTTTGCCTTCAGCCTTTAAGGATGTAGAGACATTAGGTTTTTCCTGGAAGTAGGTGAAATGAAAAGTAAGCAATCTCCTTCGCCGGGAATCGAACCATGGACCTCTGGAATACTGGCCTAGCGTGCAGACCGCTACACCACGAAGGCACGCTAGGAAGGCGGGAGAAATACCTTATAAGGAAATTATGTTTTAGTTCTTGTTTCATCAATAGATGATGCCAATAGCTTAACTCCTGTCCAACCATTTCTTGCCTTATCTTATCTAATCACTATAGCTTATTTCGTTCATTTGCGCTTTGGCAGCTGAGGATCATGGTTTGGTAAAACCATTGAAAAGAGTCCTGTGAAAAATTTTCAAATATGATACTGATTTTGTTGTTTGACTTCTAAATTAATACTTGTTCGGCATGTTATTTTATCTCAATTGTTTTAATCTGTAAAAAATCTATTAAAATTTTTCTAGAATAGCGAGAGAAATTGAAGTTATGCAGAATGAAGCAAAATTGCTGCAACATCAGATGAATAGTGTAAAGGGAGATGTCATGAAAGTATGTATTAATTATTTACTCTGTAATTTATATAATAAGATTTTTAACCTTCCGAGCATTACAGGTTTAATCCGGAATTTTCAGGTTTCCTCAAAATGTTATGAGTATTTTCTTGATTATAATTAAAAAACGGCTCTTCTCACTTTATACCTTGATTCCTTTCCTTTCAATATACATCCAACCCAAAAGCAGATGCATTAATACCTGGCAGAAATTTTTATGTGTAAAGAGTATGAAAGCCTCCTTTTGATACAGAATTTTCTGCCCATAATGCCATGGAGGTAGGAAGTAAGAAGGAGTTGCCCTAAACAAGTTTCTCCGTACCCTGCTCTGAAGCACCGGCGATCCCTACGTGGTGACCAAAACATTGGGTCATTTACCATTGAGTTCTATGGGATTTGACGCGTTCGGGTGTAAATATTTTGTAATTACGTCGCAAATATACATATAAATGTATATATTTTCTTTTTCTACAACACTTCAGAGTCCTAAGTATGTGAAAACAACATATTTTTAAACAACATTTCATTCTGAACGGAATTAAATGCTATACTTTTCTCAGAATGGTTTAATTTGAATGAAATATTTTCACAAGTTTTCGTTAATTACATTAGAAAAAAAAAATTAAGGTAGTTCGATTTTATTCGGTTAAGGTGCAAAAATTAAGATCAAAGTTTATTGTATTATTAATATTAAAATTATGCATTATTTCTTTTCTATTTATAGAGCTTCTTCCTAAAATACTTTCTTAAATATGACATGATTTTTTGGCTTCTTTTAAATCGAAAAATGTAAGTCAATTTATAATTGATGCTCTATTCGGTTCATTTTAAATTAGAGAATTATTAGGAAAATAGTATTTGACTTTCTCTGAACATTTCTGAAAGGGAATAAAATAAGTTTTTTTTTTTTTTTTTTTTTTTTTAAGTATTATTTAAAACTTGTAACTGAGTTATTATAAAATGTAAAGGGAATAATTCTTTTAATTATACTTATCAGATTTTTTTCTTTTTACCCTTCATTTCAACAATACATATTCCAAAACTCTTTATTACGTTCTTAAGTGCGCATCTCATAGCATTTGCTTTACAATACCTTTTAACAGATTGCTTTCCAATACGAACAATTCTTGCTTAAATAGTTTTATAACTTATTTGTCAACAGGATTTCAATTTATGTTTACAATTCAATATTAAGGTTATTATATATTTAGATAACATTTATAATCATTATAAATTAGGTACATTTAATCATTAGATTTCTTCACAGTACTATCACAGTTGTTTATAAGTGAATAAATTCTTCATTTCAAATACATTTATAAATAATTTAATGAATATTTAAGTATTTTGTCAAAGGCAGATACATGCTTTTTGCAAGCACATGCATAAATACCCATACATATTTCCTATTTATCATTTCCGGCATGTGCAAATCTTTAATTTCTGTGCATTCACTATATTTTTCGTGTAAAGTAATTTACACTAATTTAGCATACACCCGAAATTTTTACATAAAAAATATATATGAATATAATTTGAATGAAAATTATAAGTATTATTTTTAATACCCACTCAAAGGTCAGTTTTTCTTCAAAATTCCCCCACGATGGCATCTCTCTCTTTAGGCAGATAGCCCTTGCATGCGTTACTCTATTTAAAAACTTAATCTGACCTATGTCCCTAATTACAAATATTTTAACATACATAATTTTATATTTACATTTAGCCATCAAGTTTCAAACTTTTCAAATCTTCTAGAAAATAAATTTTGGCAGATCTCTTTTAGCAATTTTCTTAAAATCTATATTTTTGTAGCGCAACAGCTTAGAATTTTATAAAACAAATTCATAATCAAAATCGCTGTTGTTAGTTATCGAAAAATAACCAAGATGTGATTTTTGCGTAAATGTCAGTAAACTATACAAATTGCTATTATCCATCCCACTATGAATGTTTCTTTCATGCGAAAGTGTCCCTTTTTCGATTTCTATGGAACTGTCGTGTGTCGAAATACTATCAGAATTTTGTCAAGCGAGCTTCTGAATGTAAACAAAAAACACCCCGTCTGGTGACCCAAGCTTCAAAGCAGTGCTTCACTTCTAGCGCGGAATGGCCCCTCCTCCCTTTCCTACCTCCATGCATAACGCTGAGAGGGGGTAAATAACTGAAGAACAAAGTAAAGATCTTATTTTAAACTTCTTATTTATTTGATTTTTGAAAAATCGTAAAAAATATTTATTTATTTTTATAAAGGTAATTAAATTTGATATATTTGTAAGTACATAGTAATGTTTAAATTGCACACTTACAAACTGTTATGTATAGTTATATAGGTTCATACTTTATCTCATGTTTGAACTTATTCTTAATGATATGAGAATTAGTCTTTGCTCTGAATATTGTGCACAGCTTCAAATAAATCCTTATTTAAAATTACTGCAACATCATTTAGTGTATTGTAATAAATATGCATTGATAATGTAATTAAATTTACAGAGGAAGGAAATTTTAGTCTCATTTTGCATTTCTTCAAATCTAGATCAGGTGTTATTTATTGTAGGTGTTTGTACATTGTCTGTCTTATGAATTAAGTCATGTCATAGTATAATGTTAGGTAATACAAAGAAAGCATTTTGTATATATCTAGTTTTGATTTAAAAGTGACAGTGAAATGTTTGTTTATTAACATCTTAAAGCAGGTTTTTATTGTTTTTATACATTAAAAAACTGCCCCAGGGAAAATAATATTGTATCAAACGAGATAATGTTACCAACCTATATGCCATAATATGTAGAAACAAATTTTCTTTACTTTTCTCATTATCAGTTTAACCCTCTGAGCATTATGACCGGCTTTATCCAGTCATCAGAAGTTTTGATACTTGGCATACATTAGCTTATAATTTAAGATATTTTGCTTTCTTGCTTTTTTTAATAATGCAAATATCATCTTAATGAATGTAAGTTTATGAAGATATAGACTAAAATAAGTAATTATACAAACTCAATTAATAAATGGTGTTTAAATACGGGTCTTCCTGACGGACCTAAAATCTTACGCCGCTCAGAGGGTTCAAAATTACTAACCCACATGCCAGGATATCTATAGGAAAGAAATGCAGCCAATTAATGTGTATTTTGTGTTTGCTATTGTGCATTAATTTTTTTACAATCTCTTATTTAAAATTTCAACAAAATTCTATTTGGGAAAAGATATAAATTCTAACTTCAAATGAAATTTCCCAAGTAATAAGGAAAATTTATTTTGATTTGTAATAAAAAGTATTTATTGAAATACAAAAAAAAGGAGTTTTCACACATCTTTAACTTTTCATTATATCTGCATCAATCAATACAGTTGGAAAATTTGCATTCCTCCATTTTGTGGTTGCGCTGAGCAGAAAAGGTGAACTATATAATTCAAGCAGTAGAATCCTCCCAACGGAGAAAGAAAAAGTGTGTGGTGACGACTGTGTGCGTTCCCGTTTCTGGGGAAGATGAAACCAGAGCTAAAACATAATTTCTTTAAAGGCTGACGGCAAAGGTGGATTGGAATTAGGGTCGTTAACTAGAACATAAAGATTTTTTTGAATGTGAAATGCCTCTAGAAAATCCAATTCACCAATGGAAGATGTTTTTTATATAATTTTGGCAGCAGAAAAATTGAAAGTGTGATTTTCGGACCAACAATGCTGGGCAACAGAAGACTTCTGTGACCACACTGGCAAGGAATCCTGTAAATAACCCAGGAATTCATATCCAGAATGGGGTCTTTGAGTATGGAACTCGGAATTTTATTGATGGGAAAATATATGACCCAAAAGTTAAATTTCTGTAAAATACGTACAGCCTTATAGCTAATTGATGGAAAGAAGGGAGTGACAACAGAATTTTTATAATCTCCTAAAACAAGAATCTGCCTTTTGGTGTGTTGAGATGAGAATTTTTTAACTGCTTGATTAATAATGTTGGGTGAAAACCCCCTGCAATATCTACTGCTTTTAAATAATTTAGTTCTTCATCAAAATATAGTTTGGAGGAGCAGACTTAAAGAGCATGGAAAACATAGGAATAAAATGAAGCTAACTTTTGTTTAGTCGGATGACATGATTTGAAGTGTGGTGGAAGGCAAAACGATGAAGTTTTACGGTAAACCGTAGTACTCAATTTACAAGTAGTTGGAAGTGTGACCAGAATATCGAGTAACTGAAGAGAATTGCAAGTCTCAAGCTCAAAAGTGTGTAGGGTTTATATTTATTTTAACTAACATTTATTTTAAGTTTAAACTATCTTTCCTGTCAAGCCTTACTTTCCCCTGGAACTGCCAATGCCAGAATATGTAAATTTTAGTAGAACGCGCAAGGATTCAAATTATCAGCGGAAGTATTATGATTTAAATAGGAAGGAAACGAGTTCGGTGTGTGATATTCTTACTTCACGAGCGCGGAGGTAGTTAGCGAGAAATTGAAGAACCCCGCGTTTTGGCCTATGTGCTTGGCGGGAAGTAGTGTTAATCGTTAAAGTGAGCTTCAAGTCTGCTGAATTAGCAGCGGTATTGTAAAACGCGGTGAGTTAGTTATTTTAGAGAGCCTCGTAGTTAGAGTCTTGTCTTTAGTTTCTTTTCAGGTTATTATTTAAGACTCTGTATTTTATCCAGTTGTCACAGTCACCTCTTGGTTGCGTGCAAGTTGGAGGCGCGCAACGTTACATTGGCGCCCGAACACTTATCGAACTGAAATGGCCGAAAATTGGATGGAAGCTGCTGGACAACACCAAGAAATGACAACTCAGTTGGAAGGATTTGGATACCTGGTCCAGACTTTGAGAGCGTCAATCAAGCCAAACATCCATTTCGACGGAAAAAATTCGGTGGGCGGTATTTCTAGAAGGTCTAGAAAACCACTTTCAGCTCTACCCTGTTCCTGAAAGACAAAAAGTTGCCATCGCCACATCAGCACTAAGAGGACAGGCCGTGCTATGGTGGAAAAATATAGGCAA